TGTATTCATTTGCAGGGCTTTGATCCAACAACAAAGATAAGCTTGAACAATACAGTTGTATCTCTACAAATTAGACAGATGTGTTCAAGAATTGCCCTATAAGGCGCCATGCTGTAAATCCACCAGTATAACAGGACATACTTTTTGATATGAACAATGCCTTAAATCAACACCACAAAGTCTGACCAAATGAACTTGTACATAGTTAAAAACTAGCTTGTTACTAATTGTTTAACTTGGGTGGGTGATAAACCAGGAAACACGATTAACTAGTAGAGATTTTTGACCATCTTCTCTATCGCGGTTACATATGACATTGCTGTGCTGCAGAGTCACAAGAGTTCCTCATTTGTATGCATTTTTAAGCATTGTGGTTTAAAAACAAGTGATTTTAAGCTATTTAAGGGCAATAAGCAGATAATGAGGACTCATTTTGGTATACGCACGAAGAAACATGGTTTCTGAGTCTTGTCTGAGAGACGCGCACACATAAAGCTGCAGCTCAGAGTGCCCGTGAGTAACGAATGAAGTTCTTTTTACTGCCTAATAGGGATTGAATGGTTAAATACACTTCTACAAATTGTCCATCTTTGCAAATATCTATTTGTGTCTTTGTTCTATTGTAGCTTGTTTTCCTATACGTGTAACTACTCTGTTGTAATTTTAGTAAGCTTCGGTGAGCACGAGAGTTTTTACATATTAGTAGTATATATATATATAGTAATTGGTGACAATAATTTCGATGGAATCATAAAAACCTTATTTAAAGCAAAAAAAAAAAAAACAATATTGTGATATCTATTGTTATTGTCAAGTAAAATCAATTAGCCAACATATTAAATAAACAAGCACTCAAGGGTCATTGGATGTGTAGAATTTCATGAATGATGGGTGATTTAGGGCTCTAGAATCATAAGTGGCTTTTCTCCTGAATGTCTATGGGAATAAGAGAAATCATCTCCCATAGCTGTTTCTGACCTTCTAACTCGTAATTCAGGTTTATAGAATTAATTTATCCACATACCCTTTTCAAAAACATTTCCCACATTAATAAGCAGGCATCGCTGTCAGTTTTTAAGTGGCACTCTGGGAAAGTGGCCTGGTTCCAGAGAGAACTCAGAGAATTTTTGAGTGTTACTCTTAATGCACTCAAGTCACTCATCTCGGTCTTGAGAAGAAATGGGAGTAGCAGTGGATAAACGGACAAACAAACAATGAGTTCAAGATTGTAGCAGAATTATTTCAATTCGGATGCCCAGAATGGGAGTCCCAAATCTTTAAAACCAACCCTGACCACAACTCAAACTTCATACCTGACTCTGATAAAGCCAGTGGCCCTGCTGTGGGGTGAAGATGGATTCAGGCTGGATGACACCGGCTAAAGCCCCAAACATTCCTGTTGTCTCTGTGGCATTTTGGAGCAGGTTGCTGGCAGTGAGCCCTGCCATGCTTTGGGGGGCTTCCCTGTGCTTTGGCCGAGATAAACACAGCAACCACACAAGCTAATAATAAACCTCAAACGCCACAAGCCAATCCTGTTTCTCAGAACAGGGATCTATCCCACTGTCACCTACGCACATAATAACCCCAGTCAACCCGGGGTCATAATCACCTTCGCAAACACTCGGGTGCACAGACATTCACACTTACACACTCAGACACACACACACAAAATCTATTTCAAAGACTAACATAAACCCAAACTCATAGCTGGGGTTTTATACAAAATCTTCAAAACACTGAAAAATTAGTAGAAGTTTTCAAACTACATATGCACAACAATCAAATAGCCTATAATGAAATTTTCCCTTAATTGTAAATAATATTTTGATTGTTTATTATTTAAAACCTAGCAAACCGCTTTTGTGAAATGTTTTGGTTGAAAAGAAAACAATATTTTACAACATTTTATAATAAATAATTATTCCAACAGGTTTTATCGTAGGTTTTGTCCGACTCCATTGACTTGACTTGGTACAAAAACTTGAAAAGAAAACAATATTTTACAAAATTTAATAATAAATAATTATTCCAACAGGTTTTATCTTAGTTTTTGTCCAACTCCATTGACTTGACTTGGTACAAAAACTGCCATAAATCCTTTTGGAAAGCATCTTTTGCAGCAATTTTTGTGTAAGCATATCAGTGAACACCCCAGACCATTTCAGTCTTTGTAAACTAAAGTTTAATGCGTTTTATGAATGATTGTTTCAGTGCACATAGACAACCATTGTGTAGGTGGGGGGGTGCTAACACAGAAACCTAAAATTCTCGGAACAGCAGCATTTGTCCAAAATTTAATCTTAACCGTTCTATTTCATCTGAAACAATCTTGAAACTGGGCTTTAAGTGTAACATACCGAACTAACCCTTTAATGCGTCCCTGCATAAAGCTATCTTACACAAAACAAGTCATACAAATTTTAAAAGACTTTATTGTCTTAACTGAATGAGTAGTCAGGAAGATTTTCACATAGTTTTGGAGCAAATACTCTAGGCTATGTGATACAATTTATGAGAAGTCTTGTGAAGAAATAATCAGTATGGGTTTCATCACCTTATTTCAGTGGCATTTTTTTTCACAAACCATGCATAAACGTCATTATCTCAAAACTACAAACTTTTACATACATGCTGCTGACATATTATTGTAGCAGAGTTTGTGCTGAATACAGTGTTATCAGACTTTAGCCATGAATATGTCACAAGTAACAGAAAAAAGCACAAATGTCAGACCATGTCAGAACACCTCCAGGACCCAGAAAACACCTCAGACCCCAGAGGGTTAATGAAAAGCTATAAAGTAATAATAATAATAATAATAATAATAGAAAAAAAAAAATAAAATAAATAATAATAATAATAATTGTATATATATATATATATATATATATATATATATATATATGGAAGTAATTTAACCACTTCGTTGTTCATAGAGAGAGACGCTGAAAAGAAGCAGAATTATCTCTCTCTATTTCTCTTTAGAATAAATGCTATAATTAATTAATTCAAATAAATTAATCGTACGCTTTACTTTATCTCTGTCTAATTATAGATCTTACAAGCCATAACTGACAAAAAGTAGCCATCAATTTAACATAAATATTTATATAAAAAAATATATATTTCCTTACATAATTCAATGAAATTCATTCATTTTTAAGAGTTCAGAAACATTGGAAATCCCTCAATTTCTCTAAGGAAAGCCATGAAAAGCATGCCTTTAATTGACCTTATGCACAGATTCACTACTTCCTGAACTTAAGCCAGCTCCTTGTTTCCTGTCTGTTATTATTGGACAAATTGATTAATCTAGGTGTGCCTGACCTCAGTAGTCACGGCAACAATAATCAGACACACCTGGATTAATCAAGTTCGGCCAATAATGGCAGACAGGAAACAAGGAGCTGGCTTAAGTTCAGAAAGTAGTGCAGCTGTGCATAAGGTCAATTTCTGTGTGGCCTGAAAAATTGTTGCATCGCACCTGGTTGGGACACTATTAGGAAAGCCCAGCATCCTGACAGTAGGGTGTCATGAGGAACCATGCCTCAAGCTGGCTGAACTGGCACATGCAACCAGGTTGAGTACTAAATATACCTTGCAAAGGAGACTGTAGGTGTGTGTGTGTGTGTGTGTGTGTGAGTTTATGCGTTTCTATTTGTGTGAATACTTTCTGATGGATTATACAAAGCAATTTGGCTCCACTGCAGAGACACCTGCTAGGTTTTGTGTGTGACAGTTTCTGAGAACTGAGAGCGAATTCATCTCAGACTTTGACCTGTTGTGCCACTGTGCTTCTGTCAGACGGGTGGGCAAAATAGTATTATAAATGTGTCTGCATGCAGCTGTGCCAAGTGACTTTCATTATATAAAACAATATCTCTTCAACAATGCCACTGTATCTTGTGAAGCCCGGTATTTGACCGCCATTTGCAAGCTGAATGGGGGAAAAATGCTAATGCTTTTGTGTTTGTGAGATTTGACTTTTAAACTTCAAACATCTGCCTCGCTCTGCTTGCATCTCTTTGTGCCCCGCCGTGACACATCCCCCTGCAGAGGGGATGATGGGTAGTCCCCTCTCTGGGGCATTAATTGGGAGATGGGGCATGCTGGTGCCAGATTCAAAACATACACAGGAAGACAGGAAGTGAGAAAGTGTGAGAGAGTGTGACATGAGGAACAGTAAGAAAAGAGGAATTAAAAAGACACTCAAAGCAAGAAAACTACATTCCACAGACTTTCTAGAAAAGTCAGAACAAGCCTTTCAAGTTAAACGAAAAATAAACACCGGGAAATATGAGATAATAAGATTCCACATTGTTTGGCAATGCATTTAAGTTTCAAATGTGAATGTTTTATTGTTTAAGACAATTTGATCATAAATGTTCTCATCTAAGATCAGGGTTTTGAACCCGGGGTCCAGAGAAGGAACTTAGGGAGGTCCTTTGAGAAGATATTGTATTTTCTTAAAGAGATACAGCAGTTCACCAAATAATAATAATAATTCTCTCATTATTTACTAACCCTTATGTCATTCCAAACTTGTATAACCTACTTTCTACACAAAATATTGTGAAAAATGTCTGTTTTTTGTTTTATTTTTGTCCATACAATGAAAAGTCAATGGGGTCCAAGGCTGTTTTAGACACCATTGACTTATAATATCTTATTTTGTGTTCCACGTTCCAAGTTTAAAAAAGACACCTAAAACTCACCAACATGTCCAGGATAAAAAACCTCTGATCTGATTAAAAATTCGCTAAATGTTTAACGTTTCTGCCTGAATGGTTGTATCATTTAAGTGAGATAATGATGAGATTCTGATCACCTCTGTGCTGCATTTTATTATGCAGCAACAAAGTTGAAATGCATGTTAAATACTGCAAATGTTGTTGTATCACACCAGTAACTTATGCTTTAATCAGAAAAGAATAAATAAATAGAAATGTGTGCTTGCTTATTTTGAAAAATATGGGGGGGGTTTCCACATTTCTCACCTTTATATGACAGGTGCACTCGTGGTGTTGTGCGGACGTTGCCATTACAACCCCAGAAACACAAGCTGAGGATGAGAAGCAGGGTTTGCATCATGCTCATGATAATGGCAGAAGTTTTTCCACCGAGATCTGCAAGTGTGAGAGACAGAAACAGTTCATGCGTTACACATTGTGAAACACAAGAAAGGTTATTCATTGTTTACTGACAGCAATTATACAGTATACATTTAAGGATTAGTTTCAATTTGTTTTCATACATGTGGCCCATAAAACAAAAGTGATTTCAACAATGCTCTTGTTTGACTCCCACCCTGAGAAGCCCTGGCTCAAATTTAGGCCTGTTTACAGGTCACTCCCGCACAAATCCCACCCGTCAGTAAAGCTCAAATAGAAAAGAAAACAAAAAACTAAAGGCGTCTAGTTGGCTTTTCATTTTTGACTGATTGTTTCCACAAAGTAGCACAGGGTTGTAAGTTTTTCCGTCTTTTCTCTGAGCATTTACAACCATCCACAGTGAAGACTAAAAACAGGCCAGTAAAATCACAATGCTGAGGCATGTAAACACAGCAGCTCAAATTATCCAAAGGTCCACAGTCTTGTGTTGTTTTTACCTTTATATCTGGGAGGGAAAAAGTCAAAAATCTGAACTCAATTGGCCTTTTCCGTGAAAATAGTGTTGCTAGTGTTGTGTGCCGTGGGCGAGGGCAGCAAGTCTTTCTGCAGTGGGGACATGCGCCCAAAAGAGATTAGAGAACTATGCAGTCAGAGAGCAATGATTTCTTAAGTATGTCTGCCAAATCCTTCCAGCTCCAGCAAATCCATGTCACACTGCCTTGCTTTAAATCTTAAACTCTCACTCCTGGGAGGCAGGGGACGGCAAACCTACTGTGAGCCTCCGTATCTGTAGAAAATCTCCCCGTTCTGAGGTGCTAAACATGGCGGGCACGTATCTATGCAAGCTGTGTACACAGATTTACATGCTTAAAGAGGGATAACCGTAACAGGAATGCAAACACTTGCAAGCATGTTTTATAATGAAAATGCTCAACGACGAAGAGCTCAGAACAATGCTGATTTATATACAGTACACACAATATGTTGATGGAGTTTACAAAGATGCAAAACATATTTGGTTTAATAACCACTTAAAATGTTTTTTTTTTTTGGTGAGATTTGTTTTGTTTTTGTTTTTTTGTTTTTTGCAATGGATGCATTCATAGATTGTGAAGACTTATATATTGTTACAAAAAATCCATTTACTGTAAAAAACAACAAAAAAACCCCACAGGAATATTAAGCAGCAAAACCGCTTCTGTTCAACACTGATATTAAGAGGTGTTTCCACGGTACCAAATCAGCATATTAGAATGATTTATGGACGATCATAAAGACTGGAGTAATGACTGCTAAAAACTTAGCTTTGCAATTACAATTTAATGATTTATTAACATAGATACTACTATTTTTATTGTACAACACTGTTTTTATTGTATTTTTGACAAAATTTGGCAAATTAAAAAAAAATAAAAAAAACACGAACTGTAATGTGCATTGATTTTCTTGTTTAAAGGGATACTCCACTTTTTTTTTGGAAATAGGCTAATTTTACTACTCTCCCAGAGTTAAACAGTTGGGTTTTACCGTTTTCGAATCCATTCAGCAGATTTTCTGACATTTAGAAGAAAATCAGTAACTGGACAGTATCTGGTCCCATTGACTTCCATAGTATATATTTTTTCCTACTATGGAAGTCAATGGGACCAGAAACTGTCTGGTTACTGATAATCTTCTAAATATCAGAAAATCTGCTGAATGGATTCGAAAATGGTGAAACTCAACTGTTTAACTCTGGGGAAGAAGTAAAATGAGCCTATTTCCAAAGAAAGTCAAGTATCCTTTTAATCTTGTGTATTATTTGAGCTATAAAGTTTCAGCATTACATTATCATGTGAATGAAGCTGAAGTTGAAAAGGTTAGTAAGGGATTATTATTTCACACTAAAATCATGTTAACCCCTATATTGGTGACATCTTGATTGAAACTGTATTTTAGCACTTTTGAATTGGCCCAGTTCACTTACATTGTGTCTCACTGTATCCTTGGACTGAACCTTATTATAATTAGTATCATCACAAAAGTACACAATGCATACTACGCTGTTATTTAACAGGTTTGTGGTGGTTCTACCACTAACTGCCTCTTTGCAGAAGTAGTTTTGTAATACGCTATGAAATGCTGTACTTTGGCCCTCTTCCAGGGTAAATGACAGTTTTCCAGTGATGAAAAATGACAGAGGAACAATAGCCAACAGACAGCGCTCTTTGTCTATGACGGATGTAGTATCAGGAATTTGATCTGGAGAAGAGAAATGGATCAACAAAAAGACATTTTAGTATCTGAAGTAGACCAATTGGCCTATAAAAAAAAGATATTTCTGGAAATGTTCAGGTTCGGCACAAATGATGTGTGAGATTCATAAAACAATAGCACCGCTGAATTCTCCACTGTCTGCTACCCTTGAAAGGCACCAGAGGGAATGACCAGTCTGTGAAGATTAAAACCTGGCACAAAAACATTTTTGTCATCGTGTCAAATTTATCTCAACAATCCAGACAGACTGAAAAAGCAGAGCGCTCCCACAGTATGTCTGATTTGCTTCCTTTTGGCTGACTTGTTTTGTTTACATATAAATATAGGCCTATCTAAAAAATTACCAAAAAAGACAATCAATGAATACTGAAATATAACAACATCATTAGCTGCTGTGTTAGGGAAGCACTCAAACACTGTCAAGCTAATAAAAATAATCAGATCATAGTACATACATCTATGTATGGATGAAGGCACTGAATAGCATTTGAACAATTCAATTTACACTATACCACCAATAAAATAAATAAGCCAAAAACATATGAAAAGCATCATTTTGTAAAATGATTTTTTAAAAGTCACCATGAAATCAAAATTCTTATTTTTTTATGAAATTTCACAGTATTTATTATAAATTATTTAACTGTTCGCATCATTCTTTTAAAAAAAATGTATATGTCCTCACAATCTTTAATAAAAAGAACTTCCCCTCTCCTCTTGCAATCACTTCTCTTCTCTGATTTGTTTACTGGCGAGAGGCCAGGACAACCTATCAATCACATGACATCACAGCACTTTCAAACCACAACCATATAAATTAAATCAAGTCCCGCCCTATATTTTACTTGTCAAGAAATGGTTTCACTCAGAAATACATTACATTTGGAAAGAAAAGACTATTGTAAATTTTGTTTCAGGCAAATGAACCAAGTGAATCGACTCACTAATTGAATCAGACTTCCCAAATCCTTCAAGATAATCAACATTTAGTTCAGGCAATAATTAATATTACAATAAATAAAATTAATACCATAAAATATTACAAAAATTCAGCTTGCCTCTTTGAGAAAATATTTGGTTACAGCGACAATATTTTGAAAACAGCTACTGAAAAATGCATTACCGCTTGTTATAGTATACTCCATTTGTTATAGTACATATTGCAGTGCAATTCCAAACAATCTGCATCATGCTTTTATTTCTGAACCTGAAGGAGTGCATCTTATTTTGAGATGCACTGTAAATTTGAGGGTGCAGTCATGGGTGAGCCCTGTAGCCTAGAGAATACCTATCGTTAAGAGTCAGCACATGTCTGCTCTCTAATTATATGCCTCAAGTGGCTACAGGGGTGTCATTATCACTGTGTGTGTGTCTGTGTGTGTGTGTGTGTGTGTGTCTGCATAAGTGTGCCACACCTGCACATGGAGCAACAGAATGATGAGGTTGTTATAAAAAGGACCCGAAGCAGAGTAAATCTGAGAACAAGCAGAGGTCAAGGACAAGGGTGAAGCAATAAAATGAGCAGCAGAGGGTGAGACAGACAGCAGAGAGGATGAATTACAGATAAAAAGCAAAGGATGATGTCTGAAGAAGGGGAACGAAAATTTAAATCCCATTATGGAGAATAGATTGACATTGATTTAAAAGTAGATTCAAAGGTATTAAGCATGCTTGTTCAAAATATTACTGAACAAACAAGGAGTCTTACAAGCGATAATTAGCTAAACTAATTAAAATAAACGTCACTGTTTACACAACCTGATGCCAGTTTTCAGTGAAACTAAAATTAAAACAAAGCACTATAAAGAAGAAAAACCCACAAATAAATACAATTGCAATTAAATTAAAATAAAGTAATAGTTGTATGGTTTATTCAGATGTATGAGATTGAAACACATTCGATTTATTGATAATAATACAGTATAAACCTGGTTACTGTTTGTTTAAAACATATTCAGAGTATTTATGCATGGCTTAAGCTGACAAATATGCATCACATTAAATGTATTAGTTTGTTGTGTAATCCAAATGGATGGACATTTTAAACCTAAATATCTTGAGTGTAAATAATTATGTTTTTGGTGCACTATTCCTTTAATGAAAATAGTGTAGAACAGCATAAAGAGAACAAAACTATAAATTGGCAAAGACTCTCTCTCTCTAACACTATTTTTCTCTCTCCAGCTGAGCTCCTCTTCAAGTGGAAATTAGTTTCCATGCAGCAGGCATGAATACAGAAAACCAATAGCGCAGCGCATTTACCATTAAGGAGCCTGGGTATGTGGAAACAGTAGGTCATGGGGCGACCTGACACAAAGGATTCTGGGAGACTTTCCCTCAATGATTCAACTGCAGTGGCTCCCTCCTGCTGAACCAATGTCTGCATTTTCACTCACAGGACCCTTTAGAACAGCTCTAATTGAAAAATAAGAAAGCATGATTCACAGAATCTCATGCTTTAGTGGGGAGACAATATTTAGAGATCATTTTTGAATCTATAACTTAAAATGAAGGAGAGTTTGTAAGTCAATAAATTCATTCGAAAAAAAAATACACAGACTTCTTCAATGGGCCTCCAACAAAGGAAGACTTTTAGCAGGGGGAGCCCCAATGAATAAAGACAAGGCAAGATTGATCACATGACCAACACCCTGCGTGTCCCCCATTATTAAAAAGAATGTTAAATCTCTGTGTAATGGTTGTTTTTTTAATCAAACTATACAGCTAGGAATTTCAAGGGTGCATTTCTAACAGCTCAT